AAAGGAGTCCTCGATTCCCTCTTCCCCTCGGTGGCATGACAGGTGAAACGACTTGTTGTTTTGGAAACAGTAGTCTGGTTATGCACTATCGCAGCGGATCCCAGCCTCTTTGTTCGTGTGGGGCCATGTTAGCACGAAAACAAACTCACGCTTCCAAGCTCTTAAATGGGTGCTCCCGAAGTATGCGAACCAAGATGGCGGACATCGGAACGTAACATGGGTAACAGGTTAGGGTTAGGCGATAATTTTTTTCCAATTTTCCCTATTTAGTCCTATTATCAGTTCGAAGACTAGCAAGAGTGCCGTAGTATTCTTATACTAAAATTATGGCCTAACCCTAACCTAGTACACATATTACATTCCGATGTCCGCCAACTTGGTTCGCATACTTCGGGAGCCCCCTATTCAAAATTTGTGAACATGTAAGTATAAGAAATAAGGTCAAGCCGCTTATCTGTCGAGTATGTGTTGCCACAGAAGGAATCTCATGTCACGTAGTTTTATAAAACTTGTTTTGGTACTCCTGAAGTATGCGCACCAAGATGTTGCATAACCTGAACCCTAACCTGGTACACAACCTGAGTTCAGGTTTTGCGCCATCGTGGTGCGCATACTTCAGGAGGTCCCTTATTTTGTTCCGAATTCGCCAAACTGATGTTTTTCTGTTCGTCAATGTGTATTTTTTACTTTGTTCGAAGTTTGTAAACATGTAGGCCAGGGGTCTCAAACTCAATTTACCTGGGAGCCGCCGAGATGGAGCCTTAGTGAGTACGGGCCGCATCCGGTTTTTCACAATAAAAGCAATAAACTTAAAAAGGTAAATCTTTTTCACTGTTTTTCTATACGCAAAACATGTCAAAAACCTAAATGTAAGTCATTCCGCGATGGACCTTTCCCCGAATATCTACTTCCGTAACATGGGCTAATCCGCAAGACGCAAAAAGTGACGTAACAATAGACTTTTTCGCAAACGCTCAGACACTTGTCACTCAGAAAGATTTTCAGGCATGTTTGTAAACATTACCTCGTTTTTGAATGCTATTTATTTGTTAGTTTTGTGTTGTGTTTCAGAAATTCATGTATGAATCAAAGAACTCAATGATCATTCTGATTGCTTGGACGTCGTAGCTTAATTGCCGTAATCAAAAATAAGTCTAGAAATAGCTGTGATAGACTGGGCTAAACTTTTCTACCGGTACTGTTGAAAAACAGGTTGAACGTTTTGAATCAAAATGATGACGTGAAACATATACCCCAGTTTATAGGCCTAAACTCGCGAAGCCACCTCTAAAATGAGCACCAAGAATTTGCAATGGTAATGGTACAGGAAAATTTTCTTTGGGGTCAAAGGTCCATCGAATATCATGCCTACAGGTACGGTACCAGTAGGTTACCGTACCAGTAGGTTACCTAGGTTACCGTACCGCATATGCTTTTCGGGGGATAGATAATAAAATATTTTGTTTTGCTCTACGTTTCCTGATCATATATTTTAAATGCATCAATCATTCTAACTGAGTTGAGTGACTTACGAGCCGCACTAACATTAAACTTTCATACCAAGGCGGGGGCCGCAAACTATCGTCTTGTGGGCCGCAATTGGCCCGCGGGCCGCGAGTTTGAGACCCTTGATGTAGGCATATGAAATAAGGTCAAACCGCTGCTCTGTCGAGAATTTGTTACATCAGAAAGAATCTAATGTCACGTAGTTTTATAGGACTTTGTTTGGTACGCCTGAAGTATGCGCACCAAGATGTCGCATAACCTGAACCTTAACTTGGTACACAACCTGAGTTCAGGTTGTGCGCCATCTTGGTGCGCATACTTCAGGAGGTGCCTTGTTTTGTTCCGAATTCGCCAAACTGATGTTTTTCTGATCGTCAATGTGTATTTTACTTCGCTCGAAATTTGTAAACATGTAGGCATATAAAATAAGGTCAAACTGCTGCTCTGTCGAGAATTCGTTAGCCTACATCAGAGGAAATCTCATGTCACGTAGTTTTATCAGACTTGCTTTGTTACGAGTGCGCCAGACTGATGTTTTTCTTATCGTCAATGTGTATTTTACTTCGTTCGAAGTTTGTAAACATGTAGACATATGAAATTAGGGCAAACCGCTGCCCTGTCGAGTATTCGTTAACGCAGACGGCATCTCATGTCAGCTAATTATATAAGACTTGCTTTGATTTGAATGCGCCAGACTGATATGAAATTAAAACGAGAATAGGCAAAGCTGAATTGTTAAATTGAGTTATAATTTATAATGTATTTGTTAGCTGGTAGACTGCAGTCGAAGTTGTCGTGTAAGCAAACTCAGCTGTAATGTTTTGCTATATATATATTGGTGGATACGGTCGTAAAAAATAAAGTTTAAGTCGATTTTTCTTATAAATTGGGTGGAAATTACCCCACTTTCCGCACGGTGGAATTTCTTTGAATTCTAATATGTGTTTCATGCCAGCCGCAATGCTTGCCAAATGTTTAAATAATTGTACCGGATGTCATACCAGCGTGTGCATTGTATCGTGAAATAAAGAACAGAATTTCCAAATCTTGTTATATTTTAATTTGGACGGATGGTGGATAGATGGATGATCACTTGAACACAAATAAAACGAATCTATCGAATATTCGAATATCTCATATTTATTTCACAACTCTTTTGGGTTCGAATATTGACAATTTGGTAAAATTTGAAAATTTTGGTAAGATAATCAGTTTTTTTTAAACATTTCCGGTCCCGGGGGCAAAGAATGAGTTTACCAATGAATAAAGGTCTAATATGAAAATTGAACGCACCGAAAAATATTTGATGATTATCTGCAATTTTTTGAATTCTTTTGGGTTCATATATTGACAATTTTGAATAAATTGAAAATGTTGGTAAGATATTCGATTTTTTTTAACTTTTCCGGTCCATTGGGAAAAAATATTAATTTAACAATGAAAAGAGGACTAATATGAGAACTAGGCAAAATAAAAAAAATTTGGTGATTACCAGCGATTTTTCGAACTTATTTGGGTTCGAATATTGACAATTCACTGACAATAACAATTCAAAAATCGGTTACCTTTCCAAAATTTTCAATTTTTGCACAATTCCCAATATTCGAACCCAAAAAAGTTTTTTTTTTTGTTGCGTTGAGTTCTCATATTAGTCCTCTATTTAGTGGTAAATTTATTTTTTTGTCCCCGGGACGAAAAAGCTCGAGAATTACGATTATTTTACTAATCTTTTCAATTTTCAAAATTATAAAATTTTTATAATCTATATTCGAACCCAAAAAAGTTTAATTATTTGAAAAGCGCGGGTAATCACCAATTTTTTTTTTGCTTTAAGTTAAAATAAGTTCTCATATTAGATCTCCACCCAATGGTATATTTAAATGCTTGCTCCCGATTCCATAAAACTCGAAATATTTCAATTATCTCAATAACATATGTTTACAAAATTGCCGATATTCGAACCTCATTATATTTGAGTGTAAGACTTCAAATATTCTGCCTTTCCTCATTTTTATTATCCTAAGTTGGAGTATTATTTCCAACTCAGTTTAATTGTCGATTTCGTAAGATTTTCTCTTAGGTTGGGGGGGGGGGGGGGGATTTACCTACCTTCCGAACGGTGGAATTTTTTTAAATTTTACCATGTGTTTTGTGTATGTCCACCTAATATACTGTGTTTGTGAATTGGAGGAGAAAAATTTATTTCTTACTTAAATTACGCTTTGACTCGGTTTAATTGACGTTTTCGTCGATTTTTTCAATAAATTGGGCGGAAATTCCTTACTTTCCGCATGGTGGATTTTTTTTAATTTTGATTTGTGTTTCATGTATGTCCACCAAAGCTTATGTATTAATGAATTGTATGAGAAAAAATTATTTCTCACATAAATTTCACTTTGACTCAGTTGAATTGACGTTTTCGTCGATTTTTCGATAAATTGGGGAGAAATTCCCTACTCACCGCACGGTGGAATTTTTTTAAATTTTATATATGTTTTATATTTGTCTTAAAAAAAGTAAGTTGAGGAATTGAATGAATGAGGAAAAAATTATTTCCCACCTTAAGCACGCTTCAAATCAGTTGAAATGGCGATTCCGTGATTAAAAAAAGGAAGAAATCGTCTCATTAATAGCATATAATTGAGTATATTCGCGACAACTATCCACTTTATTTGCGATCAATTCATGGCGCTAGCTTTACCTAGATTGCCCGCAAAGGGTCCTCAGCGAGTTTTGAAATCGACGCGTTGTTTCACTTAAGCAAAATAAATGCTGCTAAGTTTTTACGCAGTGATACACATGCAAATACTATTGAGCAACACTTCAATACCAAAAATAATATTGGTAGAAAATTTACTATCAAATAAAATTAGTAACTTTTAGTATTTTATTGATAAAGCAAGCAACCCAAGAAAATTTTTAGGCGACCCAATTTCGGGTCGTGACCCATGGTTTAAGAAACACTGATGTAGAATATAATATTGGAGAAAGTAAAACTCTTGCGACAATGCGATTGTATTATATATTTATTCTTAAATGAATTTCAAATATTTATTTAGAGTGGTGACCTTGATCAGGGCTTTCCAAACTGGGGGTCGCGACCCCACAGGGAGGCGCGCAACAATTTTCACTCAAAGTCTTTATTATACATTTTTAGGCTTTCAATTCAAAACACAATTATAAAAAATAGTGCAAAACATAAATCTCATGAGTTCGAGAGAATACATAAGACGGAATAGAAGCGCGTGCTTGCAAAACAACAGGACTCGCGAGCTTGAAAGTTTGGGAAGCTCTGGCCTAGAGGATTTAATAAAAAAAAATAATATTTTAATAAATAAACTTTGATATTATACTTGCATAATCTTGATTAATAATCTTGCCTAATATTACTAATCTGGGAATGCAGTAGTTTATATATTTTGTTGAATTATTAAACATTATGGCGACACAAATCTTTGTTTTTACAGATTCTCTCGTATTAAATAATTATTAACTATGACATCACCAATAGTCACTTTGGTGCTATTTCTCTCACTTTCCATACTCACGAATGGAAGAAGACAAGAGAGGGTTTGTCTACAGTTAGAGAGCGTAGAAGATGTATATGGCGAAAATCGGTATGTGGCAAATTTTGCAAAGTAATATTTTGGTAATTTTACGAAAATCTTGTAATTATCAGATGAAGCAGCGACTCATTGATAACAATTTAAACCGCCTGTTATGGAGACTATATTGTTCAGTCTCATTGGATGTTTTCCAGAGCATTGATTTTCTTGTTTATTGTCGTAACAATGACTAATCAGCAATGAACCTACGATAACGTAACAATAGCAATTCATGAAGTCGCTCAGACACTTCTTTCTCTGACGAATATTCAAGCATGGTTGTAAATACGCCGGTTTTGCGTGTTGTCCGTCAGGTTTTGCTTGTGCTTTCAAAATATAGTCGTAAATCGAATAACTCTATTGTCAATATGTCTTCCGATGACTCTTAGTTTAGTTGCAATAAATAAAAATTGACACAATAAACGCTGCGATAGACTAGCCAAAATTAGCCATCAGTACCTGTAGGCGGCATGTGAGTCAGTTTGTAAGCGCTAACTTTCCAAAAACTCAAAATAAGCGTTTTAAATTTTGCAAATCGTTTAATATAGGGATAATTTTTCAGGGGTCAAGGGTCGAGGAAACGACCATAATGAGAATTGCTGACACTCTCACACTTTCTACTTATGATCGAAACGGCGCCTTGTGCGGAACAACTTTATAAAAATAAATACCGACTAATATATACATTTATTTTTAGTGCCGAAGTACAAACTATTCCGGGCAAAAAAGGCCCGAAAGGCGATAAAGGATTTCCTGGGCTCAAGGGATCACAAGCAGAAGTCGATTACGATGAACTTGAAGCCTTGATCAATAGAAATGTCGAAAGAGGTGAAAACTACAAGATTGTTTGATTTGCTATTGTAGTTCTTTATGCAAAACTGTTTGGGTCAAATCTTCAGATGGATAGCATAGGATTTACATATTTATCCTGGAAGAGAGAAAATCCTATAAGACGGCTTAATCATATGACGATCCACGGCCTCTCGTTCGGTTACCAGTCCATGTCGAGTATGGGTTAGTTAGTCAGTTGTTGGTTTCGAAAGCATAGACTTAGCAGTCCTAGTTCTCTTGTCTGCTTCAAGCTATTTTTCAATGAAATCGTGATTGTACTATTAATGGTGGGTGAACAACCATACGGCGGCCAGGAGTCCAGCAATTCTCTCGTACATAACTATCCCCGCATGGGTTTCGAACCTGCGAACCCACGCAGAGTAATCAGAGGTGCGATGGCGAGCGTATTGTTAACGATTAGGACGGTGCGCCATACCACAGAGTTTAATTTTTGACTTTTGAACTTGGAATAAAGAAATGAACAACGTTTCTTTCTTTTACGAACATTCGAGAGTTATTCAACATTTATTTGGTACTTTCGTAGTGTGTGTAGGGTTAGGGCTAAGCCATAATTTTATTCCAATTCTCCATATTTTAATTATATGACGAGTTCGGAGATTGTCTGTGTTAGCCAAGTGAATATACCCCATTTCAAAACATTAGTCATCATCTAAAACAGTGGTTCCCCAACCGCAGCCCGCGGGCCAATTGCGGCGCGCAAAGCGATTTAACATGGTCGCCGAACTTGAGTGAAATTGTTTAACACTTTATGTTTTTAATTTTTTGCGTTCTAGATTCCGTCGATTATTAGTGATTATCATAGTTTAAGCACGTGTATATCCGTAACAAATCAATTATACCGATAGCTCAATTATACGTACCGGTACCGGCATCTTGCGGGCGCTTCGCTTTTCCGGCCCGAAAATGTTCTTCCGCTTCTAATTTTGGTCAATCAACATTGCAAACCACTGATCTAAATTCTTTTTTCAATAATTCCTTGCAGCCTACATATAAACGCCATTCACTTACGTGGCAATTCAGTTGCCTCCACCAAAGTTATTTCTTTGACCGTATTTGGTGATTTTTGCAAAGCATAAAACGCAAATGTATGTGTAGACAGTTGTTATGATTCCAATTTATAACATTTGTGTTTAGCAATGGAAAAGCAACGAGCAGAAGATGAACGAAACAATGGATGAATTGCTGGACAGAATAGAAGAATTAGAAGGGCATTTTTCCGCCTCCTGGATTCACTGAACAAGGTTTGTTGCATTTCGTTCACCGGGGGCCAAAAATAGAAGTCGAAGGATAATATGGTGCTGGGATAGGGAGCGCGAGCAATGGGCCGATACCGGTACTGATATGTATAATTAAGATACTTATTGTTACCATTTACACGTGCTCAAAACTATGATATTGACGTAACAATTTGGCGGTATTTAGAACGTAAAAAGGTAAAAACATAAAGTGTTAAACTATTTCACTCAAGTTCGGCGGGCCATATAAAATCGCGGGCCGCGGTTTGGGAATACTGCATTGAACGAATGTGAGTGTGCAGTTTTGAGTTTGTATTACTGCGATTTATACCCACAACCCGAACAAGGCTCTTTGCAATCTCCCATTGATGTGTAAAGAATCACTTATTTTCTGAAGAAACAGTATATTTTCGGTTTGCCGCTAACCTAGTTAGGGTTTAGGATTCACATATTTATCCCAGGGTGAAAGAGGATGAGACGGCTCAATCATATGGTGAAGCACGGCCTCTTGTCAGATTACCATTTCAGGTCGAGTATGGATTATTTAGCCAGTCTTCGGAAGCATGGACTTGATGGTAGAGGAAGACGTAACCGACCAAGCGGTTACGTGAACCACCCTACGGCGGCGAGGAGTCCAGCAATCCTCTCGCACTTGATCATCCCCACATGGGATTCGAACCTGCGAACCCACGCAGGGTAATCAGAGGTGCGGCGGCGAGCGTTTTTCTAACGCATAGCACAATGAGCCACACCGCCGCGCCAAAGATAAAAATATAAACTGTTAAACGCTGGGGCGCGCCCCACAGGAAGGCGTAGACAATTTTTTGAGTGGGCGCGAAGCTAATTAAAAATATTTGTAAGATTTGATTTTATGCAAAATTGAGTTTCCCACCCTGGTACACGGGAAGACAAAAGCATTATCCATCACAAAACCTCGAATTAAACATCTTGTCAATCGTAAACAACTTTACTAATAAAAATAACAGAAAATTTTGCTTGTTTTTAAAACTTTTCATTTATTTCATTAATCACCTTTATCCACGTATTCTCAACGTGTTTTTTGAATGAAACATACTTTTGCCTTACTATCTGTTATTTGTGCTTCCATTACGTTTGAACCCACGTACATTTGAACCCATGACAATTGCACCTGTATGCTATTGCACCTATGGAATTTTTCTTGTTTCACGGATAGTTAAACCCATACTAACCCTAACCCATAGGTTTTAGCACCCCGCATATAGATTGAACCCGTAGATATACGCATGGGTTCAAATGTACGGTCACCGTTATTTGTACCTCGTTTGTTAGCTACTTACTTTGAGGTGGGACGCGAGACTTGACAATTTTAAAAAGGGGCGTGTCCTAAAAAGTTCAAGAACCACTTTGCTACACTATTTCACTCAAGTTCGCTTTTTGATAATTAGTATTTAAACTTGAGTAATTCACTTGGCGAGCAGAATTACCAACTCTCTTGACCTTTGACCTATGCTGCCAGAATTGTTTTCATTGGTTTTGAGGGAATGCGCGCCGTATCAGAGACCACTGTGAAGCTAGGAGAAATTTCAGCAAGAATATTTTTACACATTGAATATAGTTTCCACGCGCATATTGTGTTTCACTTATATAAAACATGTAAAAATTTAATAAGGCTGATAAAAATATAAATTTACCACGGAATTTGACGATAAAATACTGTTTAAAAAATACCAACCAAGCGAAATATGCATTTACAGGTATTCCGCAAAATACGAAATTTAGAAGTTTAAACAATTTTATCAAAATCCTCCAATAAAAAATATGTTACATGTATATTGCTCAAAATTTGAAAAATATATGGTATGTTTGGTATTATATGTGGCCGAGTCAAAACGTGCTGCTACTGTCCTGCTATAATGCAATCGAATCTATAAGGATTCTGCTTTTTTCCAATTGTGTTGTAATTAGAGATGTAACGATGTATCGGAATCAGTATCGACAATATCGGCCATTTTTCCCGAATCGGTCATGTATCGGTAATCGACCGATATTTCCGGTCCGAAATGTTTTAAAAAATAAGTTAAAAATATTGATTTTAAATCATTTTTTGCTTGGAGGGGTCGTGAACTATGAGTCATGCGTGTCCCCATCCCAGCGAGTAGAAACGAGAATTGTATTCGCCTGTTTTTAGTTATTTATCAGCCAAACTAGCTCAACTAATTTGGCTCTTACCGCTGCCAAATTTTTTTATTGACATTTTTAATACATAGTAATTATGAAGAAATATATCAACACAGCACAGAAAAGAGAACAACTAGGCGCGCAGTTTTAAATCATACAGTGGAATCGTGGTCCTTATTAACAGAACATCCACTTTGTCGTGCGACTATAAATTCTCACTGTTTATCGTCAAGCGCGAGTGTCGTTTAGTCCATCGACATCGTTAAGATAAATTCCGACTGAACTATCCTTCTACACAAATATTAAATATTGTGATTTCATTAATTTTGTTCAACTACGCAATTTCCCTGTTGATTTATTGTTCGCCTAAAGTCCTAGACTATCCTAAAATATACGATAATATTTGTAAAATATTATAAAATAGTAAAATAAAAAACTTCCTCGACGTGTTAGATATTTTTACTCGACTCACGCTTACAATTAAACACAAAATAAAATAATTGTAAAATTTTTTCAATTAAAACGTAGGCCGACGGCGCTAAAATGTGTGGGCGATATTCGATATTCTTTTAAACACAAAAAAACAATATTCAAAGGCCGCGATACTGATATTAAATTCGAATTGGACATCCCTGCCCATGAGTTTTCTAATTGAACACCGAGATTACTAGCATCAGTGCACAATGCAACTGAATCAACTAATGCATCTGTATCCCAGCCATCAATTTCCTATTATGTGATATTTCTTTTTTTCAATCTGAAATAATGTGTAATATGAATAATGCCCAAATGCTATTGTTTTAACCGTCTGCTCTGCACACTTGAGGGTAATAATTACATAGTATCGGAGTATCGGAGTATCGGCCTTTTTGTAATATCGGTATCGGCGTTTGATAACCACTTAGATCAATTATTATGATTTAACAATTGCAAATTATTTGAATTACAGATATTGTGCGTTATGACGGAAGAATATTCATACCGTTGGCATCTAAAAGGGTTCCTAAAGCATCAGCGATCGTCAAATGTCAACAGCTCGGTGGTGAACTTGCAAATATATACACCCAGATTCACATGGACAAAATAATGACATTCATTCGTGACAACAAGTTGGACGGGCAATCACCTAAGACTTTTATCTCGGCTTGACATACGACCCTATTGTGAGTTATATATAAAAGCTTCATCAATATTACTATCAGTAGAGATTACGTGAAACTAACTCCCAATCCTTCCTAATTGCATTTGCGCTAGTGGATCCGTATAATGCAAGGAAAAAATATCATACTATGCTATTCGGGAGTACTGCTGCACACTGACACAAATGTATTTCTGTAACGTTTCGTCTGACCAAAATCAGACTTCCTCAGACAAGCAGTTTCTAACAATGACAAGAAAAGGACAACTATGCAGTTTAAATACGGCGATAACTAAATTTGTTTGAAATTAATTGTGACCAAACAACCAGATTGCGACGTTAAAAATGAGATCGGTTCTCGGCATGGAATAATTGTTCCGCGATGTATTTGACCTCACAATAAGTTTCACTAGAAAATTTGTCGAGGTGTTCCAGGCTCAGCT